TTAAATTATATATATATATATTAAATGTCAATTAAATGTCAAATTCTCATAACAGGTATATGTAGGTATTATTATTCCTGATTTACAAATGAGAAAAGCTGAGGCTTAGAAAAGGCTTGCAGGAGCTTAGGTCAGGAACTTCCCTTTCAGATTTGCCATTTATATGACTTGGCCAAAGGTGATGATTTTATTGCTGTTGAGAGGTAGACCAATTGCTTGGGAAATCTGGGCCTTAGTTCTCCACTTTGCTTTGGGTGTGGACACCTGCTTTCTGGAAAAGAGCCTCTTTTTCATCCATTGCTTTGACTACCCTCTCCCATCCTGAGATCCCCCACCCTGTTTTCAGATTCTAGTGGCTTCTGTGTCATGTCTAGACTGCATTTTGGCTCCAACTCCTCCTTCTCTGGATGTTCAGTCTGCCTTCTCTCTTCTTCCATCCTCAACTCTGGGATTTCAAAGCCTGAGCTCCTCTTCTGCAATATGCAAGTGTCTTCGGGGCAGCAGAGATTGCCATGGCTGAGTACCTTCGTGTCCTGGCACCCAACACAGTGCCTGGTAGATGGCAGGCTCTTCACAAGTGATGTAATGGACTCATGTGGTCAGTAAAACATGCCCTTTTTATAAACTCCCTCCCCATGAAACCCAAGCTGTCTCTTTGTTTTTGCTGAAATATTAAACAATTTGGGAGCTGAGAGTGCAATAAAAACTCAAAAAAGTTACCAAAGTTAGCTCAATTATAAGTCCTAGATCTAATATACACAAATTTATTCTTAAAACTTTTCTTTTTTTCCCTCTTTTTGGGGGTATTTTTTTTTATTGAAGTATAGTAAACATACAATGTTATATTGTTTTTAGGTGTCCACTACACTCGTTTGACAATCCTACGCATTATCCAGTGCTCACCATGCTAAGTGTTGTCACCATCTGTCATCATAAAGCAATATTACAATATTATTGACTATATTCTCTATGCTGTCCTTTTCATTTCTGTGTCTTACTTATTTTATAACTGGAAGTTTGTACCTTTTAATCCCCTTCACCCGTTTCACCCATTCCCTGACCCACCTCCCTCTGGCAACCACGTTTGTTCTCTGTATTTAAGAGTCTGTTTGTTTTGTTTGTTTGTTTATTTTGTCTTTTAGATTCCCCATAATGAAATCTATTAATCTTAATATGAATGAAATCTTATTAATCTTAAAACTTCTAAAACTATTTTTTTTTTAATTTTGTTTACTGTTTATTTTTGAGAGAGAGAGAGAGACATAGAGCACGAGCAGGGGTGGGGAGAGAAAGGGGGACACAGAGTCCGAAGCAGGCTCCGGGCTCCAAGCTGTCCGCACAGAGCCCGACGTGGGGCTCAAACTCAGGAACCGTGAGATCATGCCTTGAGCCAAAGTCAGACGCCCAACCAAGTCACCCAGGTGCCCCTAAAACTATTTTCTTATATAAAAAGGTGGCTTTTACTTACAACATTGTTAGAAAAGTAGCTTTATACTTTCAAATGCAACTTACTATTTTCAAAATTAAAAAAAATTGAGTTGGGAATATATAGTACAAAACTCAAAAGGTTAAAAATGACACTTAGAGAAGTGTAAGTTCTTCTCCCTTTTTTTTTTCCAGATCCCCTGTTCTCTTCTAAGAGTCAACAACTGTTATTAGCTTCTTGTGCTTTCCTTAAGAGGTGATCTACAAAGAACTAATTACTAAGAATTTGTAAGGTCATTTTGGTCTCAATATCCTGGTCTTGGATTGTAAAGTTGTCTAAACTGGTTTTTAGAATGATAGTTGAGGTCAAATGACATCAGCAGTAATCTTTTCCATGATGCAAAAATCCTTTGCACCCATTAGAGAAACTTAAAACTTGGGTAAGATGTGGAAGGGAAGGGGAGAGAGGAAGGGGTAGTTAAAGCCACTTGTAATTAATGGGGAGTTCCGGTAATGTGTCCCTTTCCTCTATGGAAATGGTGCAATGATATTGAATTTAAAGTCAGAAAGGGTACCAGTTTGGGGGAAATGTTCAGAG